AACTTCTGGCCCATTGGAGCCCTGATCACAAGTGTTGTCATACTTTTCCTGGAATGACTGGTGGAAGTTCTCCCCACAAAGTTTATGAACACTCCAAGTAATCCCCTTAAGTATGTTCCATGTGCACTTAGGATTCCTGTTTTAGAAAACAGACCAAATCAAGGCACCAGTAAAAGACTACAGTAAGATCTGAAAGTCATGCTAAGCTGAAGCTTATTCACAACAGGTAAAATATAAAACACTGATGCTGACTTCACAGTACAAGCATAACTAGGCCATCTGAGAAGAAATAAAGCGGTATCCCTTCCAGTTTATCTTCTATATTCATAATGATTTCAAGCTGGCTCCTAGGTGTCTGGTTACTCCTTAAAACCTTATGTTTTTCCTGGTTATTAATCAGCTTCTTGAGATGTTCCAAACCAGATAACCCCTTGTCACTGAAAAAGGTAATTCATTTAGATTGAAACTGTTTAAATAACAGGATTTTCCCTATCAATTATGGCCTGGGACTCTCTTAATTTACACAATTAAAATAATGCTTTGAAGAGGCTGGACTAAGGTTAGAAGAAAGCAGTAAAGCAGCAAACAGTGCTTCAAGAGGCAGAAATCTCACTGACACCATCCGCTGTTGATCTTGAGAAGCTGGAATAAACAGATTGTCTCTTTTCATCACCTGTTTAACTTTCAACGATCATGCTAGGAACTTTGCCTGTCAACAAAACACCCAAGTGCCTTGGTATGGTAAGATCCCAGCTCTCTTCCTCTCTCTCTTCCTATCACTCTCTCTTTCTCTTTTTCTCTCTAGGCATAGCTTTCTGAACCTGAATTTTATTAGTAACGCTTGAGCTAGGTTTCCCCAAATACTCAGTTGAACCAGGGTAATATTGTAATTGTTTCTGTTTGTTTTTTCTTGCATGGCTATTACTACTAGTACCATCATAAATTTCATACACTTAGCAATAAATAACTTCTATAGTCAAACTGGTGGTAACGGGTGTATTTTTCCTTCTCTACTTCCCCACTTGCTCTGCAGCAATGCTTCTTTTACCTAAGCCAAAGATCCCTGTAAAGCCCCAAAATACTGTGGGATCCGCTCACAAAGAGGCTACCATTACTAGGGCAGTTAGGGCAAAAGATTGTGACATGCTGGGTTTGAGACACATAAGGGGATCAGCCTGTATAGGCTGGTTGACCCAGTTTGGCTCAGATGTGCCCTAATGAACTGAATGCTGGCTCATGAGGGTGTCAGCTGGACACTCAGCCTGATTCAGAGGTATTCTGTTCACCTGCGTGCTTGTGTCTGACTGCATTTTATTGTTGCCCTAATTAATTGATTCCTGGCATATGAGGGTGTCAGCCTGTACATGCTGATCAACCCGGCCAGGTCAGGCATGTCATGTTAATCTGTGTTTGTGTGTATGTATTTGACTGATTTGGTGGCTAGAGAAACCCAGTCCCATTGAAATTGAGTCCTGCAAGATAGCTCCATTTGTGGGAGGACTTGCAGAAAGGAGAAATACAGCTCCATACAGTGCCGCACTTCAAGAGGAACACAGAGAATCTGGAGAGGGTTCAGAGGAGGGCCACTTGCATGTTTAGTGGCCTCCGGGAAAGACCCTACGAGGGGAGGTTGAGAGATCTGGATATCTTCCGCCTTTACAAAAGATGGCTGAGGGGTGACCTTGTTGCTGCCTATAAGTTTATCAGTGCAGGACAGCAGGGAATTGGTGATGCGCCGTTTACCACAGCACCCCAGGGAGTATCTAGGAATAATGGGTACAAACTTGGGAAGAGTAGATTTAGGTTAGACATTAGGAAGAAATTTTTTACAGTAAGGGTGGCCAGAGTCTGGAATGGGTTTCCAAGAGAGGTAGTACTATCACCTAACTTGGAGGTCTTCAAGAGGAAGCTTGACAGTCACCTGGCTGGGGTTGTCTGACCTCAGTCCTCTTTCCTGCCAGGGGCAGGGGGTCGGACACGATGATCCATTGGGTCCCTTCCAACTCTATAATCTATGAATCTATGAATACAGAAACACAAGTAACACAAGCAGCACATTGATAGAATTACAGAGACCCCAGAAGAGTACCCTTAATAAATGAGTGCACCCCAAAGTGATGGGCAAATCTGGTAACACTCAGGCCCCTCACTGGGCCTCCCTTGACCATGCAGCAGCAGTGAATCTATAGCCTTAAGGACTAATTACAAGGCTCTGTTCCCCTCCTACACCACACCACATGGGTGATGCTGTATAATCACTGTCTTCTGTTGAGGCTTTGGCTTCCTTGGCTGCCACTCCTTACCTCTTAGCTAGGCCTCCTAGCCCAGGCCCACTGTACTGGACTTGGCTTTGAGGCACCAGCTGTGCTTTATCCCCTTAAGGCACCAGGACCCTATCTGCCAGGCCACTGACCCCTTTTTGGCTGTACCCCTCTTGGGCACCAGGCCCCTGTTTGGCTCTGTGACCTCACTCTCTGCCCTGCCCCAGTCTCAACACTCATTTGTGCCTTAAACCTACCCTGGCAGGGCTCTAGGCAATTGTGTGCCCCTAGGGCACTAATGGGAGCTCTGAATACCACCCCTTACAGTTTCAACCCAAACCACCAGTGCTAGACTGCAACTCAAACAATAAGCCCCCGGGCTATAACATAAACAGTCCCTTCCAGGCCCACCAACAAGAGCACAAAAGGAGAAGCAGCACTCTGCCCCCTTAAGAGGGAAATCTTTCCCTTACCTCTTGTGCCCTGTGAGCTCCCTGAGCTTCACTAGGGATCCACAGGCAGCACAGCAGTCCCTCTAGCATCCCCTGGTAGCTCTCCTGGCCAGCAGCTCCTACCCCTGCTGCTTGCAGGGCTAGACTAGCTTGCTAGCTGGGGCCCTGGCCTGCCTCCAGGTGCCTGCTAATTGGCCTCACTGTCTAGTAGCTAGGGCACCCTGCAACTGGTGCACCCTGCCTGGCTTGCAGTGCTCCATTTCTGGGCTGCTTCTCTCCTGAAGTGATCCCCAGGCTCTCTGCTACATCTTCACTTTTTTATTGCAGAGTGACAGTCTGACACATCTGTATATCATCACTGAAAAACGTGCAGACAGAGCATGACTCTATGATACCCTCCTGCTGCATGGACAGAGCTTGGAATTGTTGAGCAGTTTCCCATCCTGTTTTGAAGAAAGGCCTACAAAGGAAAATCAAGAGAAGCAAATCCAACAGCGTGCTGCTGCTCAAATAACCGGGGAATAGAAAGGAAAAAGAAAAATTCAAGGACAGAATGATAAGCAGTTTCAGTTATTCTATGAACCTCTCTAGTACTGCCAGAGTCAATGCTTATCTTCTGCCTGTGTTTAACTCTGTCTTTACAACAAGGCTGAGAGAATTAGGTATGTTTAGCCTGAAGAAAATTAAATGAAGGGAAGGCATGATTGCAGTCTTCAAATCTTTGAAAGGCTGCTATACAGAAGAGGGAAAACAACTATTCTTTTTCACAGTACAAAATAGGATGTGAGGCAGTGCTTTAAACTGTAGCAAAATCAATTTAGATTATGTCTCAGGATTAACGTTCTTACTGTTAGGACAATGAGGCAGTAGAATGGACTGTCCAGGGAAGCTGCACAATCTTTTCCATTGGAGATTTTAAAGATGAGGCTGGATAAGCACTGGTCAGGGATGATTTAGGAATAGTATTCCTGTATTCATGCAGGGTGGTTGGGCCAGGTGACCCTTTAGGTCCCTTCCAACCCTATGATTTATGAACTTCATAGTGCTTCTTTTTAGGATTATTTCACCTGTTGATTTAAATAAATCACAATTCATTTTGTCAGACCATTTATCCAGTTCTACCAGATCTTATGCATATATTCTCCAGCTTCTCTCTTTCTGTGGTACATACTCAGAGCTGGAGGTGATAAACAGAGCTGATGTTAAATCGATATGCATTTTCCAAGATAATTGGAATGGGATAGTGGGACTTTGATATATTATAATTATAGTGCATATCTATGTCCTCTGTGATGGGGCAAAATATCTCAATTTCCTGCAACCCTTCAATTTGGGGGCAAAGAAATGCGCACAATGATGTTCTGAACAAAGATGCTAGAAGACACCGGGCCCCTCAATAACACCACCTTTGAATATTAGGTGTCTAACATGGTTAAAATGCAAAGGAAACATTTGATAAATCTGTAAATGTCCTAGATACATGTGTGATGTGGGAACAAGCTTACTAATGGCATAATGCTTGCCACAATGATAAAGTTTCAGAAAAACAAATACATTTTGATGATTCATAATATTTTGTTACAAACCATGCAACATTTTATGGAAGAAATAAAACCCAAGCTGCTCCGTACATTATTTCAGGGTGAAAAAAGTAAGCAAAAGACGAAACTTAAAACTGTGTGGGTAGCAGGTGATGCTGAAAAGCCAATTTTAAATAACAGAACACGAAACATTAACAAATAGATGGCAACCTATGATTACAGCTACAGAAAAAGGCATACTGTAAACAAAGTATCCACTAATTCCTCCTCCTCTCCCCTACCCCTCGAAAAATGCATGGAGTGACAGAATGTACACATTTTATTGCTGAACTTTCTTTTGTGACTTGCACAGTACCTGGAACTTTAAATGAAAGTTTATATCAATAAAAACATGAATAATTTCATAATGAAGTTGTGTAATGCTAGGATACCTCAAAAACATCCTTTACCTTTCTTCTCATCATTTTTAAAGTGATTCCTTTAAAAGAACATGTAAAATTGCTAAAGCCCTAGACTGCTCTTAGTTTGCATTTATATCAACATAGTTCGACATTTCAAAAAAATACATTCTTCAGTTAGAAAGTGTGGCTTTCAAAGAGTTCATGAAATTCCTTAAGAAGTGGACTTTACAAAGGTCCCAGATTTCCCATATGAAAAGTATACTTGTGAATTTTGGCAGGCTTTGATTGTTTTCAAACAGTAAAAAGACCAAGTTCTTAGAATTAGAATATTTGAGACCCACTTACGTGATATCCGCATTGGGGTGAAGACCAAAGACTTCTGGACTGTCCATGGCAGGGAGGGACTGAATATACTCTTGATACTGTTCCAGAGTTTTGCATACTGGGATTTTATATCCAGTGTAAAAAGAGAAGGCACTTTCAAACATCTTTTCACTGAACCACACCTGTGCCAGTATAGAAAATAAACATAAAAATAAAAACTTCTGTTTATTTTGCCATTCACACAAAGGTTTAAACCCTTCATTATTTTTTCATACTTTATGGGGAGTCAGGGTACTAATTTTGATGAGCACTGCTAATTTTACTCTGAAATAAAAGTAATATTATGTTGTTACAAAGTAATCATTTCAAAGCTTGAATTATATTATGTAAGTTAATTTCATTTTATAAAGGTATTCCTGCTTTTCTTTTAAAAGGAGCAGTCAAGGTGGAAGGTCTCACTGGCCAAGAATGATAGATTGTATTCTTGAAAAATTAATTTTACATGCAAGCATGTTACAAATAGACTGGTAAGCTTGTACCTCTTTAATAGAAACAAGTATTCTGCCTCCATGCATTACAATGGGCATATCTACACATGCATTAGATCCAAGGTCAGTTTACTCATGAATAAACTTTTTGTGAGTAAATGCTCCTGGGCAGGCATCTACACATGCAGGGAATCAGGAGCAGATTTGCTGCTAATGGCAGCAAAGTGCTCCCACTTTCTGGGGCTCTACAATGGGCCCCTGCCACCACCAGGGGGAGCTCTAGGCTCCCCCTGGGTGCTAGCCCAGGGGCTGGCAGGGAGCACTGGGCTGTCTCCTGGCAGGGGCTGGGACACTACATCCTGCCCTCAGGGGCTGCCTGCTGCCAGGGTGGAGACAATGTCCCTCTGCCACAGCAGCAGGAAGCTCCTGGCCCTGGCTTGCTGATCAGGGGCAGGGAACTTGGAAAGAGCTGCAGGGGATGGGCAGGTTCCAGCCCCCTGCCCCAATCCCCTGGTGGGGAAGCTAACAGCTAGCTTGCTACTAGGTGTCTCATCGGCAGATAAGGGGAGGGGGTTGGGACCTAACCCACCCCTGCAGCTCTTTCCAAGCCCCATGCCTCAATCTCCTGATCAGGGTATGGGGCTGGGACCTGCCCCTGACCAGGACAGATCCCAGACCCCACTCTGTGACTGTGGGAGAGAGGCTGGGGAGCCTGTTCCCCACTGAGCTCTGTGATCACGGAGCTGGGTGGGGAACCGACTGGGGAGCCTGTTCCCTGCCAAACTCCGTGCTCACAGACCTGAGTGGAGAACAAGCTCCCCAGCCTGTTCCTGGGCAGGGAACAGGTTCCCCAGTCCCCACCAGAAGGGAGCTCCCAGCACCAGCTCCATGACTGTGGGACCAGCACTGGGAGATCCTTATCTCCAAGCACCAGCTCCACAACAGCAGGGCCAGCACTAGGAGATCCTTATCTCCCAGCCCAAGCTCCAGAGTCACAGGGCGCAGGCTGGGAGACCCTTATGCCAGCTCTGGCTCTGCTGTCATGGATCTGGCACTGGGAGACAAAGGTCTACCAGTCCCAGCTCCCCAATTGCAATGGCAAAGCCCTTTGAGATAAGGGTCTCCCAGCCCCTGCTCCCCAGTCACAATTTTGGAGCAGGGGGCTTGGAGTTCCCTGTTGCTGGGGCAGGGGAACATAATCCCCATCTGGGCTCCAGTGGCAGAGCCTGCCCTGAAGCAGATTTGCTCCAGGTCAAGCAACTACATGAGTGCTTCTGCACCATTACTAATCAAAAGTATATTTGCTACTTGCAATTGCAGTAGAAAATTTACTCATGATTAGTGAGTTTTACTGCGCAGTAAGCATGTGCATGTGTAGATGCACATGCTTACTGTGCAGTAAACTATGCTACTGTGCAGTAAAACATCTTGTGTAGATGTGCCCAATTGCTGTTAAGCATGATAGAATTTTAACTATTATGTATTTTAGTAAAAATGAATACTGGCAACTAAAACAGCTGTTGCTTATTATGACTAATGATTGTATTTTCAGCTCTCTTACCCTCGCAAAGCAATTAAGAAGACGCTTATCAAAATCATCTGTGACCCTGCCTCCATATTGCACCTCTCCAATCATGTACCGTACTGTGCTCCATGATATTCCCTAGATGCAAATTAAGTAAAAAAATGTTTTTAATGTTTAAGAAATAATTTTTAAAACTATTTTAATAACCCCTATTTATCTTGGGCAGGGCCGTCCAACTTCTAAATAGCTGGAGGTTGCACTAGTGTGAACTGTGGGCCCCCAGGTCTCACCCTCCCCCTGCACCGGGCATGTGGGCAGCCCTCTCCTGCACCACTACATCATGCTGCAGGCTCCCCAAGTGCCAGGAATTTAACCACCCAACCCCCTGAAGCTGAAGCAGAAAGTGAAAACTGAGAGAGGGGGTGGAGCCTAGAGACCCCAGCTGCTGTAACAGCTGGAAAAAAACTATGACCATTAAAGCTACTTTATAAAAATTATTAAGCATTTCAAACATATTTTCTGAACCTATAGTCTTTAGACTAAAGTCCTTGAATCGGACTTGTCGCTACAAGGAGGCATTGCTTCTTCAAATACCTTCTACCATTTCCTTTGCAGTGTTAACGGCAGCCTAATTTAAACTGGGAATGCTTTGGGCACCTTTGTCTTATTTCTTCCTTAGTTTCTCAGCAGTTCTCTGACTGGCAACTTGATTACAGGAGAAGGAATGGATATTCTATTACTAGGTTCTTTTCTAGCAGATAGAAGGCAAAGTAGAAGGAAGGTAGGAGTCTGACTGGTTTTGTCAAGAGGATATTTTGCTTCCTTTCCTGACATACCATTTGCAGAAGTTCAGGAGAGGATAAAAAGAGGAGAAACTGAGAACCAACCAAAAGTTATAGTTCACATTCTCTTTTCCAATCCAACACTGCTACAGGTAGCCTGATACTTGTTCTAACTTGTACTCTGGCTGTAGTTTCCAAATAACTATACATCAATTGGGAATAACCAAAGTTTGGCACACTCTAACTGCTGCCCATTTTTCCTCTCTCTGCAATCCTGGAAAGTTGTGAGAATCCAGCTAAATTGCGGCTACATGCACCAAGGACCTCGTCATGTTAGGGGAAATCTCAGCAAGGTGTTTGTAGGTATTTCCTTTCCTTCTGCATGTATAAGAGGCTTATGGTATAGAATCTCCCTCCATACTACTGCTGTGGCTCCTTGACCTCTTTGAAACAATAAATCTGGTCTGAAGCTTAAAAGCTGGATTCAGTAATTGATTAAATAAAAACAATGAACTAATGAAGTCATAAATGACTATTCTTAATTTTTACATGAACAGCAGAATGAATCTGACTGATATGCAACTAATTTTAGATATGTGGCCTTAACTGCGTAGTTTCTTTGTGTACATATATGACACCAAAGTATTATAGCATAGAATTCATGCTATAATGCAGCTACTGGAGCTGTTCATGCACCTACTGGAGCTGCCCTGTTAAATTAAAATTCCTATTTTATTAATTAATTGATTTACATATAATCATCTGCAAATGCTTAGTTAAGAATAATAGCTTTAGTCAGGTATGGTTCAAGGCTATTCATATTTCAGAGTTCTGAAAATACAAGATCAAATTCTGAAATCCTTAAATAGAACTCCTGTTGTAATCCAGGGGAGTTTTGCCTGTTTAAGAAATTAAGGCATTGGCCTACAGGCATTGTCTAATAATCAAATACTTAAAATAATTATATAGTTTTCACATGGACAATGGTGTACAAGAAGCATGCTAGATTGTCCTGTTACTGGCCTAGCTAAAAGAACAAATATTCTTCATGGAAAAAATGGAATTCTGTGAAATAAGAAACAATCAGAGAAAAAACATATTGCCACTCACTTTCTTGATGTCACATTCATCTAGGTGATTCTGTATAAACTGAACACTGGCTGTAAAGTCTGCAGAGTTAAATTCGTATGGAATATTCCAGCCCAAGGGGCCAAATTTACGTCGTTCCTTAAGAATACCAATAAAAACAAATAATGCATTTATTTCAATGTGTTTATTATATTGTTTTGGTATTAGTTCTTGTGAACTTTAATTGGAATAAATTATTAAACTTTGGAAATGGCACAAGCCATTGCTTGTGCCATTGCTCATCTGAGCATCTCATTGGTATAGATAATTAATTTAAAATGGCCACACAGAGCTCCAGATAGGAACAATATGTCAAAGAAAAACAATAAAAACACTTATGACTATCCATTTCAGGGGTCAGCAATCTACAGAGCCATGGGACCTGGCTGGTGAAGGTGGGGTTTCAGCGACACTCAGCTGTGGGATCTCTGCCCATGCTGCCATGGGGACAAACGGCTGTGATGGTTGGGTCCTAGCACACACCTACCTGCTTGATCACCTCTGACCTTGGGTGCATTATTCTGGCCCACAAAACACTCATGACTCTGTTCCTGAATCAGAATGGTCAAATGGGATAAGGTAAATTCTCTGGTGGCCTAATTTTTGAAGGAACAGAGCCTTTGTAATCCCATTAACCTCAGCAGACGTACATACCCCTGACTAGCTAGCTTTACTCTTTCATTTTTTCCATGTAAGTTCTATTTGTTAACAGTAATTTGAATATTCCACTTTCATTTGATAACACTGAGTTAATAACACATATAGGTTGTGTCATTTATCTTGTTACTTTGGTGTACTCTTTTAATTTGTAAGCCTTTCAAAATCCTTGCCATTTTACATAACAGGGCTGCCTAACAAGCTCCATTATGTTATTTCAGATCCTCTATTATTAATGTTTCAAGCATGTTATGCTCATCTGAAAACATAATTGAAAATCTAGCAGTGAAAATGTAGTAGTTAAGTACATAAAATATGGAGAAACCATCCTTAGGATGAAAACATTATAAATGTACAATAAGGTCATATTCCTCACAGCATTTTAACCTCCTTGTATTATGTACATCTATGACTTGCTGGGAATACTACTGATAACATTTCTAGAAAACCAAATATGAAAATAATCATATTTTTGTTCCTTTTGAGTTTTTTTACAGCCATACCCTCCTTGTAAATGCTGCACACTATTTTCTCATTCTAAAAACTGTCAACACATGGAAACAAAAAGTACAGCAAGATAAAGATGAAGTTTCAAAGACAGCACATTTATTAGAATCTAAAATGACAAGGCCTGCCAGTTAGAAACAGTAAATGGGTGAAATCTTAGCTATATTGAACTGTGACAAAAGATCCAGAAAAGGAATTTTCATAACAATTAAATGCCTAAATCCACACTTCAGATCCTCAGAGCTCCTGCTCATTTGCCACCTAGCCTTGGGGCACCTGAAGTCTAAAGATGTCAAAATTTCTTAAGTTTCTTAAGCAGCTAATGGTCTGCTGATGGAATAATGAGAGCTGCCTACATTTTGGCAGTGCTAAATAGGTAGGTAGATGCCTAGTTCATGTTTTACCCTTGCTGGGATCCATGGCAAATGTTCTTCCATCTATCATGTACAAAACAGCATGTACAAAACAGCAAATGAAGAACAGAATTTGAACCTTTCCAACACAAGTACCCTAATTGCTAGACTAAAGAATCATATTTTACTGTCACTTTCATCTAATGAATATTTGCTTCTTTCATGTAGCCCTTTAACCAGAGAGACGGAGGGCATCTACCCTAGAGTAATTCCTGTAATCTAGCTGTATCCACCCCTTTCTCTCTCTGTAGGATTGACAAACAGACAGGTGAAACCAATTAAATGAATTAGAAGTGCCAGAAGGAATCATTTTTGCTAGGGTTCAATGAAACCAAGAAAGGAGTTTGCCTAGAATTAATCCACTTTTGGAACTAGATTCCTATTAATGGTGAAAAAGTCATTTTTGGTAACCAATGCCTGCAGAATTCATTGGCTTTGCTATGGTCCCAAGAGCCAAATAAAAAAAAAAATCTCTAAAACTAAGCTGGTTTTGTTTTGTCCCTGTTTCTGCCTATTTCGAGATAAATATGCCCTTTCAGATGAATGGTTATGTTGTGCCATTCAGACAAACACAGAATATTCTAAAAATCTGTCTTCTTGAAATCCAAGTATGTAAGATGAACTTCGATCATTTCCAATATAGTAATATAAAGCTCTTCTTTTCCTTTGACCACTTGCCCTGCAGAAACACTTGGGTCAGTCCTCTGCAGCTTTGCCAGAGACAAATTCACATAACAATCTTGTGCACTGAAATGAGAACATATGCGGACTACCTACCATACTAGTTTTGAGATGCCATAGTGTGACGTCCGTAGGCCTCACATCCGGTGCCACCCTTCGTCCGGTAGCCCCTCCCCTCGTCCCCCCTGCCACAACTTTGATGTTACTGGTAATTCGAAGGAGGGGTTCAGTGGAGATCTTCTACCAGAGGGGCTTACCCGACGTGGGGGGTACTCACGATTGGGTCCTCAGGTGTTCCACGGGGCTCCACCAACCCTACACCCCGTCCACTCGCCAACCGGTCACTTGTGCGTGAAGTGGTCACTTGCCTGCTATTCGCCGGCCTTCTTGCTGACGGGAGTTCCCGACCAGAGGGACACCAAGCCAACGGTCGACTTTAGTCCGCCTGTCTTGGAACCCGGCTAACTTGGCTGCTAGCTCGGGTCGTTTCCTTTCTTTCCTCCCCTGATCTTTAGAAATAATACTCCTCCGGGATAGGGAGATTTCCCGGATCAATGCCTTGACCCTGGCAATCCCCAGGGATCACTCCTCTTGCCCCCGCCGGGGCTTCTAATTCTCGCTCCAGCTGCGGAGCTAGTACAGAGCTACCTGTTTGAGGCTCCTGCTCCGGGGAAGCCGCAGCACCAGCGATGTGCTGCACGTCTCCTCCCTCCTTCCCTGGCTTCTCCCCTACCGCGGGGTTTGTTGGGGCTTTTAAACTTCCCGCGGCTCCCGCGATTGGCTCAGCTGCTCCCCTTGTCGGGAACAGCTGTTTAAACAGCCGGCGTAGCACCAGCCGCGTCTGCTGCTGCGGTCCCAGCTCCGACGCCGCCGTCCCTCCCGGGGGTGAGTAGCCCGGCCCGTGCTTTCTTGAGGGGGTGCTGTTGCCCCCCTATCCTGCCTATCCTCCGCCTGCACCCATGATGGCGGCCCGTCGCCATCACACATAGCAAAGAATGAAAGGGAAAACCACTGTATTGAGAAGACTGTATGGAGAAGACTGGTTGTTGATATTGATGGGCAGTCCTGAAGGACATAATAATAAGGTAGGTGGAGATACAAGTCTTGCATGTATATGGATCCTAAAATTTCTCTCTAATGGGCAGCTACTATTATAGGGAAAAAAAAATCCTTGTTCAATTTTTTACTCCACAACCTGTTTTAGCCACTGGAGATTAAAGACTTTTTTGCAGGCTCCTGAATGTTTAGAAACTTAAAATAACAACAGAGTGCCTTCATGTAACTAATATGAAGGGAAAAAAAGAAGAGCAGACTTTATTCAACTTTTTTTAAAGCATCACTTTTGAGGCAAAGTCTATATAGTGCCTATTAAAAATAATACAACCCATTTTTCTGATGTTATGTTTCTCACTTTGAAAAAACAGGTGTTTCTGCCACTAAAGGAATACACAGGTTCAAGCAGCAGCTGCAGGAAATTAGTTTAGATTTTCAAAAGTTTTATGACCTCTGCTCCACTAGCATTTATTATAATACCCTCAGTTGAAAATATTAATCAGTGATATTAGCATGGTCTCTAAAGAAGAATATTGACTTTTGAAAGGAAACACATTAAATTTGAGACTGTCCTATTTTTATTGAAATTTGCTAACATGAGTGACTGTGGGGGGAAATTCTTAAAACCTTCTGATTTCTCCATAGAAGTCCATTTCACCTGAACTATAAGGGAGAACAATCTTTTGTTTTTTCTGAAATCTGGCAACCCATAGGGAGGGAGTTTTATGGATCTCCACTCTACTAGCTATAGGCTGAGAGCTTGATATTCATTCATTCAAATGGGAGATGGATCAAGCAAAAACTGGCAAAAATTATGAAATGTCTAAAGTATTAAAAGTATTGAGGTGACGTTGCTATTGTGACGGTCCACAAAATATGTGAAAGGCAAGAATTCTTGCAGATAATATGTTTTATTTGACCAGTCACATGGTTGGGATAGACATAGGCAAGCTTTTGGGTAACAAATTACCCTCCCTCAGACCTCTGGGAGAGAAGAGGCAGCACAACTAAGTAGCCAAAGTATTAATAGTGCTGTCTACAAAAGCACTGGGTAACATGGCAAGTGTTGTTGTTGTTATTATTTTAGTTTCCTTGTTGGAGAGGAGTAGTGCTCTCTTAACCTCTTGAGATCTGGTAAAAAAATATGTATTTAGAGATGGTTTGGACCCTGAAAAACCTGAATGAAGCATTTAAATTTATGCGTATTATCACAGCAGCGAGAAATTTAAACCAAATGTCAGAATCCTACTTTACTAGTCATCATATATACATGAACGGAATAAGAGTCTCTGTACCAGAAATGTGACAATCTAAACAACAGCTAAGAATGAACAAGAGACACAAACAGTTAGAAGATAGGATAATTCTGGGAAGATTCAATAAGAAAATGAGCAGAGTTGAACAGAAAAACAGATGATATAGCTTGCTGTTTGCCTAATTAGAGCTTTCTAACAATTAATTCTCCATACTTAAATAATTAATTATCCTTATGTAACTGCTTCTCCAAAGAGTTTTCACTGAGTCTCCAAGGTTGTATACACACCCACACACCCACAATTTATACATGCAAGGTTCCATGGGTCTCTTTCCTCTTTAGGGAACTTGCAGATTACATTAAACCAGCAGTTTAACCAGCAGTCAACAGGTCACGTGAGGGGTTAATTTGCAGTCTACAGACTCCTGTCCAGTCACTTCTCCTCCCACTGCTCCTGCTGCTGCTGCTGTCAGGGTCACTAGGCTTCCCTTCCTGTCTCCAGGTTCCACTTCCTGCCCCTGCCCCACAGCTAG